CCTTGAGTTCCTCAGATGTCAAGTATCATTTTTTTTTTCCCCCCAAAAGACTTCAGCTATTTTTTTTTCTACCCCCCGTACTGTTTATGGATTACAGGAGAGGTTAAAACAAATCTTCAGCTCATTCATTACGGACTCTAGCAGCTCCTACCACCATAATCTACTTACGCGGCCCAAATCCCTCAAGTCAGATTTTCACAAGGCGCTGGTTTCACTCGGTAACAGTTACCACCCGGAGCCCGCACGGTGGTCTGATAAGCCGCCGTGGCCCAATTAAAGAGTTGACTGGCAGGTGGGTGGAGGCGGAGCTCGCATTGGAGGTCCATCATGGAAACCTTGCAACGCGGCGCGCTTCAGGGGATTGACGAGAAATGAGCACGTAACATGCTCAAAACTCCACCGGCTTGACTCCAAAAAATTATTTTGCCTAATTATAACTGCGGTGAATCTCTGATAAGCACAAATGGAAGGACAGATACTTGTACCGATTCGATCCCTGTACTGTACTTTATTCCATCCCCGTCATCCCTTTCCTGACCTGCGGCGGTTTCAAGACCCACATAAACTTGCCGAAAGAAAAAGTATACTCTCCTTTGCCAGGAAAAAAAAGTTTTTCTAACATTTGTCATTCTGCAGCTATCTGCCGTAGAACGTAAGCGGCTTTTACCAAAAACACCGGCTTCTGACCGCAAAGCGGAGAAAGAAACATGTCGAGCTGAACAGTGACTTCTATGCTAATAGCTGTTCGCTTTTGTGACAACAACAAATGCAAGCTTGGAGGTGGGTGAAAAAAAAAAGTTCATTTGGTGGCAAAATTATTTGAGAGAAACATGCCATGAAACATGGCTTGGTACTCTCCCCCCCCCCTGAGGGATTGATGACTTTAAGATCCCGTCCGCATGAGGCCAAGGTGGCCACCGAGGTGCCTGACCGCATAATGGCCGCGTTGTTCCAGCCACGGGCGGAGATACGATGCCGCGTGCAAGCCAGGGACGCCCTCGCGCCTGCAGCCCACAGCTGCTTCTCTCATTTGGAGCCCAATTCCTGCCCCCGGTCTGCGTGTGTGTGTTTGTACATGTGTGTTCCTCCTGCTTTTGCAATTATCCTGGCGCACATGGCCCCCGAGGACATAGCAGGAACTTACTTGCATCTGGAGAAAGCCGTGTGTGTGTGTGTGTGTGTGTGTGTGTGTGTGTGTGTGTGTGTGGGGGGGGGGGTGCGGGATATGCAACTTCGGCAATATTCAGGTCTCATTCCGCCATCGTCGAAAATGCGGGCGAGGAATGGCATGTTTGATGCCTGTCAGAGAGACAGTCCAGTGGTTCATCGATCAAAGCTTCTCGCCCTCGGGGCTCGGGCGACGACTCGCTGACCCGTGTCCGAACCACGTGGAATGTCATTGTCCAGCTGAGCTCGCTTCACAGAAACGTCACCCAAAAAAAAAATATCATCTTTGAAAGCTTTCACGAAGGGCCAAACGATCGTCTCTTCTTTTCGGTTTCATTATCGAGCGGACCGTTGAATGATCGAGCGGCGGCGGCATCGTTCTTTTAAGCGAAACAGAAAGCCTGCAGGGATTACGCCACTGAAATTCAGATTTCAAATTAAAATCGACATCTGACGAAACCTTTACAGGTCTGTGTTCAGACTCTGGGTCACGTGGGGGAAGGGGAAAAAAATAAAAACATGACCTGGACCCCCGGCGTCAATCCTCAGTTTAGCTTGTTAACGACACGGCGTAACGTGGAGCGAGCGACCTTTTGTCGAAAATAAAACTCGTTCACCTCACAACGGCTCGGAATGGAGGCGGAGCGGATCGCGCGGCGCCATAAAGCTTCCGCGGCAGCCGACACGTTTCTGGGTCAGCTGAGCCTTCCCCGCGCATAACGTCACTCGTTGCGCTTGGAGCCCCGCCAAGTCTATGAAAACAATATCGGCCCGGCCTTCAAATTTCATTTCAAATCTTCTTTGAATCTTAGAAGATCACTGAGGCCAAACTCTCATTTGTCATGACGTTGAGAGGACAGAAACCGAAACAAATGTGATTTTTTTAATTTTTATTTTTTTTTTAGTTCTGAGGTAAAATCACCTTCATCCAAAACTGCTGGAAAAACGCTGGAGGGGATTTTGTCGCTAAAATCAAATGCTTCAGGTCCCTTGCTAACACGTTTCTACTTGCAGGTTGATGAAATCTACCACGACGAGTCGTTGGGAGCCAACATCAACATCGTCCTGGTGCGCATGATCATGGTCGGCTATCGACAGGTCAGACCGAGAAAATCATCTTTTATCTTGGGGGG